GGGGTTTAACGTCTACTCGACACAAACTAGGTCATTTCGGGACTAACATGGTTTAAATTTATTTCAATAATTCGCTTATGCGTAGGGGTCTTTAACAGTGGGAGGAAACCGGGGGAACCGGAGAAAACCCATGAGGTTGGACAGGCAACCCTACTCCTTGTCACGTACAACCGGGGATTCGAAACCACGCCAGTTGACTCAATGACAGGCCTTATGATACAACACGCACGTGCTAACCATTCGACCTCCCAACCCCCTATCTAGCTAGAAGTGATACCAAGTGTTCTAGAAAGAGTAAGCCTGGTACGTCTCATGTCCGTAATCCGTCGTAACTTAAAGCTAATTGGGAAGTGATAACAGGTGTTCTAGAAAGAGTAAGCTTGGTAAGTCTCGTGCCCCAACAAGCTAATTAAGATAAAGGTAGAAATAGTTTGTAATCGGATTTCGATCCACGATAACTTCCGGTCACCAGTGTATGTTGTACCATATCTTGAAGCTAAATGTTTTCCATATTTTAATTGTTCTAGCTTTTTTATATTGTATCGAGATCAAGGATTGTTATCTATCTATCCATGCGCAACGTCTCCATGGTAAAAGAACAACTATCCATGCGCAACAATCATTTCCGTGCAAAACACACCTAAAGCTCGCCGTAACAGACCGTTTCATTGGCTAATTCCTTACACCATTCAGAACACATCAATGATAACAACTCTTCCAGATCCTAGTGTAGTAAAGACAAGTAAAGCTAAATTGTGAACTATAAAAACGAAACGAAATAAAATCTGTGTTTGAATCAGATTGTGTCCTGACCAATCTGGACTAAACACAGAATACAAACTTCAGCAAATAGAAGTACAACAAAGATCACATGATTTTTAGTTTTTGAGCGGGGGTGGCACCGAGTTAAACACGTATGCTTTAGATCCTAAGGTCTGGTACTGATTTTAAGCTTGTTCGTGATAAGAAGTAGGATGGTCTTACCGACCTCGTGGGTTTTATTCGGATTCTACGGGTTCTGTCTGCTACTAAAGACACATATTGAAATATGCAGATTTCAGACATTAGTCTCGAAATAATCTGGTTAACGCCCAGTGCCCCCCCCCCCAACCCTCACCCCCAAACCCTCACCCCCCCCCCACACACACACACACACAACACACACACACACCCACACACACACCCATACACACCACTTCCACCAACTACAAATCTACACAAACTACAATATGGGTTCTTGTACGGCTTAAACTAAGCCTGACCTTTAATATACAGCATTGGCGGAAACGACGAAAAATTCAAATTTATTTTCAGAGCTGAGAGAAAGATTTCTATTGATGATCAATGAGTGGAATCGATTTGATCAGCGACGACATTCAGGCTAACTTCATGTTTGATTATTTCTTCAGCCACTTATATTACCTCCATTATAAAAGAGTTTTAATTGTCAAGGAGACTCCACTAAAGTGTTTCCGGTATTCAGAATAAAAGCCAATGACTACCAAGAACGGTCCATATTTTTTTCTCTTCAACGCTCGGGAACATTCAATATTCCCTCTTAACATGGCGAGAAAAAAATAGAAAAAATTTCAGTCAATTCAATTGCTTTTTTTTTTTTTGAATTGAAATGTTGATCGATATGTCAAGCTGGTTTCACTGCGAATCTCAATGGAGAATCGGTGGGTCGTGTAGTTAATGGTGCGGGGGTCGTGGCGTTGGGGATGAGGATGTCTTGGGGTCGTGTGCGGTGGTGGTGTTATTGGGATGAGGATGTCTTGGGGTCGGGTGCGGTGGTGGTGTTATTGGGACGCGGTTGTCTTGGGGTCTGGTGCGGTGGTGGTGTTATTGGGATGAGGTTGTCCTGGGGTCGGGTGCGGCGGTGATGTTATTGGGATGCGATTGTCTTCGGGATGGGTGCCTTCGTGGTCGTGCTGGGGTGCGGTGGTTGTGTTGCTGGGTGCGGTGGTAGTGGGGTTGGCTGCGGCTGTGGTGTTGGCGTGTTTTGGCGGTGTGATTAGGTGCGGTAGTGGTGTGAGTGGGGGTGCGGTGGTCGTGGTGTGGTTGGTGATTCGGTTGGGGTGCGGTGGTCGTATGGTGTTGTAGTTGGTGGTTGTCGTGGGGTTGGTAGAGTGGTGGTCTTTGTAAACTTCCAAAATCTCTAAAATTAATAGCAGTTAAAAATGGCGTAATTAAAAATCTCTACTTTTTCTCTCCCAAAGCTTAAAATTCCATGTATGCTGGTGTAAGTTTTCTAATTACTACAATATGATAAATTGCACATTTTTTTTCAACACCCGACATCCTCTGCAGGCGACATAATTGGGGTATGAGAAAAACAATTTGATGGGCCTCTCCAATTTGATGGGATCCAAGCCTGGATAATATCTAGAGTTGATATTTTGGTTTTCTTTTCTTACAGATGAATTATACAAGAGATAAATCTGCATATCACAGGTCTTTCTTTAGGCCTGAAATGTTATCTAAATTAATAATTAGACAGAAAGAGAGAGAAATAGGGTTTAACGTCCACTCGACACAAACTAGGTCATTTCGGGACTAACATATGGTTTTAATTTTATTTCAATAATTCGCTTGCGCGTAGGGGTCTTTAGCAGTGGGAGGAAACCAGAGGACCCGGAGAAAACCCACGAGGTTGGACAGGCGACCCTACTCCTTGTCACGTACAACCGGGGATTCGAAACCACGCCAGTCGACTGAATGACAGACTTTATGATATAGAGCGCGCACGCTAACCATTCCGCCATCCAACCCCCTATTAATTAGACATTAATTATCATGACAAGTCCAGAACCAACTCACGATGCTATCGCATTACTCCTATTTTAACTAGATTAGAACGATTCGCTCATTTAATGATTTAATTTAAAAATGGCGGGTCGAAGCTAAGACGGTGGTTACAATCAATGCACACATCTTGTCAAGACTTCAAACATTGATAGCTTCGCTCAAAATAAAGTAATTTGAATGAAATATTCATTTTGCATTATGTATTTTGGAAATGTTATAGCGAGAACGGCCAACTCTTTATCTAACTTTTACAAAATGCCCCTTTAACTAAATGTTAAATAATCAATTTGTAGCGTGGATTAAGCCGGTGAAAATTTCATATCTTCCGAAAAATATACATGACGCACTTGATTATTACGCCAAGTGTTGAAACCCACTAGATTTATGTAGGACTGAGTGACGGTAATATACCCCCCCCACCCCCACACACACACACACTCGCAACTTATATATCATAAATAATTCATCTGCTAACAGAGAATAAACATTACCCACCCACATCAGAAAACACACAACAAATGTTTTACCGCAAATTATTTTTTATTAGTTGATTTGGAATGATTAATAAAAATACTTGTATACGCATAAAACATTATTCATATACAAAATACCTCTATTCATATAAAAAAACAAACTTCTATTCATATACAAAATACTTTTATTCATATACAAAATACTTCTATGTATACACAAAATACTTCTATTTATATACAAGATACTTCTATCCATATACAAGATACTTCTATTTATATACAAAATATTATATATATATATATACAAAATACTTCTATTTATATACAAAATACCTCTATTCATACACAAAATACTTCTATTTATATACAAAATACTTCTATTTATATGAAGTCCTTATATAGAAATAAAACAACTTATATACATAGAAAAAAAACTACTTATATACATATATATATATATATATATATATATATATATATATATATATATATATATATATATATATATATAAAATACATACATATAAAAATAACTAACGGACAAACTAATTACAGACATTTCAACTATAGTAGAGATCTTTGCCTTAGTTGAAATATGATAGTTACTAGTCTTGGTCCATACACTCTATCATTTCTTCTTATCCCTATCACAAGCAATGTTCTAGTCTTTTACATTGAACAGTTGTTTACACGCGACCTCAGTTCTCCCCCCCCCCCCACCTCCACTACATTGAACAGTTGGTTACACGCGACCTCAGTTCTCCCCCCCCCCTCCACTACATTGGGCAGTTGTTTACACGCGACCTCATTTCCCCCCCACCTCCACTACATTGGGCAGTTGTTTACACGCGACCTCATTTCCCCCCCACCTCCACTACATTGGGCAGTTGTTTACACGCGACCTCATTTCCCCCCCACCTCCACTACATTGGGCAGTTGTTTACACGCGACCTCATTTCCCACCCACCTCCACTACATTGGGCAGTTGTTTACAGGCGACCTCAGTTCTCCCTCCCCACCTCCACCACATTGGGCAGCTGTTTTCACAGGTCCCCAGTTTCCCTCCTTGCCATTTCTGATGAACTTTCTCGGCCAACGCTAGGATCAAACGCCGGACCTTCTGATTATTGAGCCAACATCTTACTCACTGCGCCACCGTGACTCCCCGTGCAGTTTAAAACAGATATCCTTGATGCATGTTTCGTAGAATAGATCCATGTGCAATATAACTGTGTTCTTTATTCATCGCTTTAAAATCAAAACGTATTTTATTATTAGAGTTTTCCCTATAAAATCAAAACGTAATTTATTATTAGAGAATTAAGTCTTTCAGTTTTCTTTATAAAATGTTTATTCATCAAAAAACTGTCTAAGACTTGAGAAGGATCTAATTGTTATGTTGTGTCTGTTTATAGCACATGCTAATTATCTCCCCTGATCTATAAGCTTGTTTTTGTATCTATAACTAAAACAATAGATAATAATGTTAATTACGCCACACAATCACCATATTTACACTCATGACGTGACACACGTGCTAATATCAACTAAACTAACCAATCGAGCGTGACCAGATCAATGACGTCACGGCGTCCAAAGGAACGAGAGCGCGGGCTCGCTATGAAAGGAATCAATATCGGTGCCTATTGAATGCCAATTATTCCAATACTGGTTAAAGACAGCGGATGCCGCGCTTTTAGCGTCCCTGCTAACGGATCACGTGACCCATACCAACTTCCTTTCCAGTATATAACTGTATTTGAAGTAGTGAAGTTGAGTGATATTGGGCAGACGACGTGTATTAGCAGGACCTATAGAATCTATCTTCATGTTGAACTATAAACTTGATCTATGTTTCAATACAATCATTAGGACTACATCGGTTACACTATTTAACTCAAGGTAAGTCATAGTTTATTTCTTTTTTTTTATTGAGCTTTTTTAATATTTATTGCGAAACTGTTTATTTTGTACACAATATAAATGAACTGTTTTATTATAGCTATAAACGAATCAATATACTTTTTATACAATCCTTCATTCCTCAATAAATGACATTAAACTTTACTTAGACAATCTGAAAATCTTGTTAGAAAAACATTTACAACTAGGATATAACATAATAACTCGATTCCTTTATCTGGGAAACGTCTAAAAAATGCCGCGTGGAATTTGGTCTTGACTGTTGATGTCCATTTGTGAAGGGGTTATCAACCATCCCGTTTTTACGGCTTCTGAATTCCAGAACAAGTCGACTCCTTTATTTGGGGATTTTATCAAAAAAAATATCTGCTGTAATTGTATATGTCCATTTGCGCCGAGGTTACCTACCATCCATTTTATTTCGGCTTCCAAACTTTTACTATAAGTGAGACCACGGTATGCTTATTATTTCAAGACCATCCGATAACACTTCTCGTTTATTTTGGTTGTACGCATAGCTAAAAATATCCCACTTTCACATATAGATGTCCGAAAAACCCACAACATGTCCAACGTATATTTCAGTAACTAATACAATTATGGCAGTTAATATTTCTAAAAAGAATAAATCACATTATGACAATAATATTATTAGAAAAAGAAATCAGATATGTAAGATAATATTACTAGAAAGAACAAATCACATGTCTAGTATATAGGACCTACATGTTAAATTCATTTTCATCTATATTATATGTTTAACACATGGTCGTCGTAACTAGCCCAGAGCAACGAGGGGAGCGGGAAGTGTTCTCAGCGGTGCTGGAAATTTGATGGACAATGTATATGAATGGCCGACAATTGTTTTCACCACAGGGGGGGGGGGAGGTACTAGCCTGGTTCAACATATCTAATATGATCTTCATATATTATTTTCCGTACTATCGGAAAGTCTGTTAGGTTGCATGTGTCAAATAATGTTACCCGTAGCCATATATCTAAACTTCAAACATAACATTAAGAATCTTTTGATTCTGTTTTTATTTCGCCAACCAGTTAATATTTGAAGTCAAATAAGTTATATTATTATTTATAAATGCACTCATTATTATCCGGAAGGGTATGGTGAAGATGGCCGAAACGTCGGTCTATCCTAAAACTCCCTGGTCCCTCTGTTTAATGGATATGGTGGAATATTGACAATTAAAGAAAGTGGCATTTCTCGGGGGCGGGGGGTATATTATATCATTATTATCACAGGGTGTAATGAAGGACTTGTATTCGCTACCTCTGATATATATTATTACTTATGTGGGTGAGTGAAATAGCTTTATTTAACGTCCGCTTCCACTGAATTGATATCGCCGACAAGATATGACTATCCCTTATATACCCTATTATCACATATTTCCACTATTGTTGTATAAATAGTCTTGGATAACAAGATGTTTAATTTACATATACAAAGAGATTTGAGGAAGTGCGATTTTTCCATTATACAATGTACAATTACCTGTATATATGATGTCCTCACCTGTTCTCACCTGTCGCACGCTATATATCTAACTTATTTATACACTAATTACCTACATTCTTTATAGCGCTAAACCACAAAAACACAAATAGTTATTTGTTTCATGGCGTTCATCTATTTCATCACGTAATTATAAATTTAAATTCCTTTCTGCCAAGTTGTAAATAAACGGTGTGCCAAGTTGGTTGGGTGGGCCGGAAACCAAAGGCCCCTCTGTGTGCACATAAAGGAGTCGACAGTCGGGGTTTGATGAAGAGTTGTCGGAGCACCCCCTCCCCTCCCTTCCCCTCCGCCCCTCAGTGAGCCACATTGGGCTCCTCGGAGACACAATAGTATAAATGAAAAGTAACATTCATCTTTAAGGTATCCATTATATTGTGTACTGTCAATCATGCCATATATTATATTCGTTTAAATTTACCCTTTAAAAAGTAGGACGTTAAACCCCATTTTATCTCATTTCATTTTAATTTTACCATAATCAATTTCAAGTTGCTTTTCTATTTGTATTTTGTGTATATTCAATATATGGAAATCAAGTTTGTTTTTTATTTGTATTTTGAATATATCCAACATGTGGAAATCTAACTGATGAACACGTGTATTGGTACAATATCAATCACTGATTCTGCTTCAAGTCAGCCATTTTCAAGAAATTAAGTAATAATCCATTTGGGAAACATAGCAATTTAATTTTCAAATTTTACCTGTCTGGGCAACTTATGTTCTAAAAATCCAAGTAAAAGATGTACCTGGTGTCGTGTATGAAACAAGGTATGCCTACTCCTTCTAGAACACCTGATAAACCTTTTCTTATAGCTATAATTATTGATAGGTGTCATACACGAGGCAGGCTATGATGACTCTTCTAACTTAGTCATGAGTAGTGGCAGTTGTCATAGCTGAGACGGGTTATGTTTACTCTATCTAGACCACCGAATACCACTTCACAATTTCATATAATCAATGATAGATATAATACACGAGGCAGGGTATAACACCTGATGCCACCTATCTGGTGTTGATGAGTGTTGTGACGTTCCTTCTAGTAACCTGTTTCTACTTCTGTTTTTGTTTTGTGACGAGTTTGTATTCCATGTTGACAGTTACTGGGTATGACGTGTTGGAGTATTTGTGAAGAACAAATAAATAAAGTCGATAATGTCTCCTGTTTTAATAGATCATTATATATCAATACAAGATTCTCAACACTCTCCAGGAATCGTTCACTTGATAGTTGTAATTCCATATAAGGGCAGACAGGATTTCCGTCATAGCACACTGTATGGCGTATATGCACGTAAGAGATCCATGGGCAGTTGGAATTCGATATAAGAGTAGGCCATAGCGCCGCTGTCCAGACAGAATTTCCTTCTTAGCACACTGTATGGCGTATGCCCGTCTTCATTAGCCCAGTCGGAGTAGACCAGTCGGACGTTAAATCCCATTTCATTTCATTTCATTTCATTAGCCCAGATGGAGCAGAACAGTAGGACGTTAAACCCCATTTCATTTCTAGGAACCGTTGTTCCGAGAGTGAATGTTATCATACCAGAATAAAGATAAAAAAACAGACTAAAGGATTCAAATATTTACTTCTACACACAGAGAACTGTTGACTTTGACTATAGATCTCTGTCCTGAATGGCCACCATATTTAAAAACTAATATTATTATTTTCTAATGTGGTTCTACTGCGTTCCACATCTACAGAAAGGCTAAATAAATATTTTCGATTTATTAACTTGAAGCGGAGTACACTTTTCTCAAAATTCTCAAAGTATACTTAATGGTTTCGGCAGAAATCGTCGATATCGCAATTAAAATGTCGACCAATTAAAATGTCGGTCAATTAGCTATGTGTCTGTTCTCAAGAGGAACTTATTGTATGCAAGAAAATATTCTGATCACCCGTCGGAAACCGTTGGTTGTTCTTGAGGTTTATAGTCTATTTATAGCTCCAACATGCCAGAATAAATGAAATGAAATGAAATGAAACGGGAGTTTAACGTTCAACTGCTCTGCTCCGAACTGGGCTAATGACGTCGGGCATACGCCATTTTGCCCGGACAGCGGCGCTACGGCCTACTCTTATATCGAATTCCAACTGCCAAGTTGGCAGTTAATTAAAACAATATTTCAATCCAGTTCAGTTTATTGAATAAAATATTGTTTAAACTAACTGCCAAGGGATCTTTCACGTGCACGCCAATGTGTACACGGGACGAAATAGAGTATAGGGCTTATACAAACACAAAATTTTAATTCTTTCAAATCAATCAATCAATCTTAATTTAAACGTGATATGAGTTTCTATTGGTTTCTACACTCAATTAACTATACTCTATTAAAAACATATCAAGTTTACACTGATTTCACACTGCCATATTTATGTGTCTTGGAAAAAAATCAGGCCCAAAATAACAATCGTCTTTACTTACAACGCAATGACAATCTTACTTTTTACCATGAAGCAACCACAATCAGACTCAAAATATTTATGTGTCTTGGAAAAAAATCAGGCCCAAAATAACAATCGTCTTTACTTACAACGCAATGACAATCTTACTTTTTACCATGAAGCAACCACAATCAGACTCAAAATATTTGTTTTTCTTTCTATATGAATTATCATTTGTATAAAAAAAACAAAATATCACACAAATGCAGAGTCTCCTTATAATTTCATTCTAACGAAGGTTCTTTTTGCGTGCCCGCCAATATGGACCCCCGCTGTTGTTGCAACCCCTCGCACGACAGAACAACTCGACTGTCGAGATGACAGTGCCTCACCACACAACGTATATACCCTTACTCTGAGCATCGACCCAGCTATGAACCCATTAATAGATTTATTTATAAATGAGGCTCAAGGTTTTAAATTCCAATGATAGATATCTTCTATAGATTTCACCTTCCCAATTACTCATTTAATTAAATTGTCAGACTGATTCCGGTGCAAGGTTTCTAGATTTCCGTTATTTTAACATGATCCTAGTCAAACATCACCTGTTCATAAAATAATGCGGAAACTATCTACATTTACAGAATTTAAATCTGTTTTAAAAACTTATCTATTTAATAAGGTGTGATTATAAATATACTCAAGATATACTTTCTATATAATATACAATGTGACTGAAGAGCGATTAGAAATGACCATTGGACATAATGTAGCGCTATATAAGACAATTATTATTATTATTAATTAATTAATTACACATAGTGTTTATTTGTCTAAAATAAAATACAACAGATAAATAAACTAAGAAAATAATTCACCATAATATATTGTAATAAACATCAAATTATAATATGAAACACAATTACTATTTTAATTAAAGTGAAATTTCGTTGGGATAGTGCGAGAGGTGGGGTTTAACGTCCACTCGACGCAAACTAGGTCATTTCGGGACTAACATATGTTTTAATTTTATTTCAGTAA